AGATAGATAGATAGATAGATAGATAGATAGATAGATAGATAGATAGACAGACAGACAGACAGATAAATATAGATGTATAGATAGAAATATAGATATATATTCAATTTCTCAACATTATCCTGGAAGACTTATATTTGCCATCATTCATAAATAAATAAACCTCAGGCTAAACTAGCCATGCAGAAAAGGAAGAGAAACTATTTACACCCCACTCTTAAAAAGCAACAAAGGGGCCCAAGGAGCAGCAGCAGTATTTTTTTTTTTTAATTTAGAAAAGTTTTAAATTTATAACAGTGAAGCGCAAATGGAAATGCCAAATAAACTTGTATTTTTTTTAAAAAAAAAGAAAAGATCTCTTCAATCATTTTTCATCACTTGTTTTCCAAGAACCCGCAAATAAATAATTTTTTACGTGCGTTACATATTTCAGTTTTAGAAAATAATTGCTTTTTATGAAAGATTAAATAGTTTCCTGCATTTTTTTTTTTTTTAAGAGCAGAGGCACCAAATAGTCTTCACCATGGAGAAATACACAAAAAGAAAGTAAACTTTGGGGCAATTTGGCAAAGCAACAAATACTTGGAGCTGAACGAAAATCTCCTATGGCAGACTTGTTTTTCTTTTCCTGGGTTTGGGGAAAATGTTAATAAAGCACACGAAAGCTAGATCTGGGTTTAAAATACGTTAGTTATACTATCATTTTTATTTTTCCAGTGTAAAAACACAACAGATACACACATTGCCATCCCTTTTCAACAAACGCAGTTGGAGATAAATTTTGGGGCCAAGAAAAGTCGAATTTAACTCTTTATGCTTTGCTTTGCTTTGCAGAAGGGATTGTGTAATTCTCCAAGAATTTGTTTATATTTTCTCCTCTTAGATGGGTTTTTACAATCACTTAGAAGAAGAAACTCGAATGCAACAAAGTTTCCGGTGCAGACTTAATTACTTCCCTTTCGTTTCCCTTCCAAGTATTTATTTTTTGTTCTACTTACTTAGATAAATAGCTTGAAATGCAACAATGTGTTTATGCCAGTCTATAAAATTTGATTTAAGTTGCATTTGAGGGATTTTTAAAGAGAGTTTTTTTGGGGGGGATTTTCTTTTACCTCCACCGCCTCCCACTTGGTTGCGAACCTCATCTCCAGAGACATCTGGAAGCCGGGAAAAATTGAGGCTGGAAAGAAGGAATGTTTTTTTTTTAAAAAAAAATGAGCCTGCAGGCCTCCAAGCTAGATAAAATGTGCCCCCCACCCACCTGTTTTTATAGCCTTGGACTACATGTCCCATCAGCGGTGGGTTTCAGAATATCTGGATAGAGGCACCGTGGCAATACACAATATTTCTCCATCTTCTTTCATATGTGCATTTAAATAAATAAAAATGAATTTTCCGACTTTGGCTCCCTTCCACTCCTGTATCTTCAAGGTGAGCAATGGGAACTGTAGTCCAAGATGCCAAGTTGAAGGGAGAAGGGTGCAAGAGCCAGGAAAGGGGAATCTGCAACCATCAGGCTGGCAGAGCCGAGAGGATGGGGAGGATGGGGCTTGTAGTGTGTCCCCCATCTGAATGAGGAAAACACCGGTTTGCTGCTGACCCCCACCTCATCCGATCTAACTGGAAACATGCACCCCAAGTCCGATCCGTGTCATGTCCCTCCCTTTCCTTAAGCCCCCTGCAAGGTTGTCCATCCAATCAGCAAAGACGGCTAAGGGGATGGGAATTGTAGTGCATCCCCCACCGGGAAAGAGCCTCCTCTCCCCCCCACAGCCCAATTTGCTAAGCCCCCCCTCCCTATCCAATCAGCCCCCACCCACCTTCTCTAACAACCCCCCCTGCAGGGCCGTCCATCCCATCAGCAAAGGCAGCCAAGACCCTCAGAGGATGGGAGTTGTAGTACTACATCCCACTCAGGAGCAGGAAAGAGGCCGGTCTGAAGTCCACCCCCAATCCAGCCCAGCTGGAAACAACCCCCCCAGCTCCGATTCTGATCACCCTTTGAAAGGATCCCCTCTGCCCTCTTTTCCCCCCTTCAAACGACCCTCCTGCAAGGTTGTCCATCCCCTCAGCAAAAGTAGCCAAGGATGGGCGTTGTAGTACACCCTCCCTCAAGATCAGGAAAGAGCCAGGTCTAAAGCCCACTCACCCACCCTAACCCCGATCCCCCTTGGGAGAGTCTCCTTCACCCCCTTCCCCGCACGCCCATCCCTCTTAAGCAACCCTCCTGGCAGGGCCGTCCATCCCGTCACCAAAGGCAGCCAAGACTAAGGCACCCTCAAAGGATGGGAGTTGTAGTACTACACCCCCCACTCCTCAGGAAAGAACCTGGCCTAAAGCCCACCCATCCCCGCCATTCACCCACCCACCCTCGATCCCATCCAGCTGGAAATGCGCCCCCCACCCCACAAGCCTGATCACCCTTGCAAGAGGGTCTCCCTTACCCCACCTTTCCCTCTTCCCCTCCTCCCCACCTGCAGGCTCGCCAAAAGCAGCCCTGGCTCCTTTTCCCACCCACCTACCCCCCCCAAAAAACCCCAAAAAACCCCCAAAACCGGACTCAGATCGACTGCGCCGGCCGCTGGAGGCTCCACCGAGGGAGGGAGGGGAGCCAGAGGGGGGCGCGTTGGCTCCGCCCCCTCGCTTTGTCCGCCGCGCGCCGGCAGGGAGGGGGTTAACTCCTCCCCCCGCCCGTCCCCCTCCCGCCAACGGCCCTTAACGGGCGCTCACCCGCTGTTGACCTCCAGCGGCAAAGTGGGGTCTTCGCCCGGGATGGAGTCCATGGCGCGGCCCCCGGGAGGCGGCTGACGGGCGGCGGCAGCGGCGGCGGCGCCTCTCCGACTTTGGCGGCGGCGGCTGCCTCGGAATTTTAAACGACCGCAGCAGGCGCTTGGACCGCCCCGGCCGCCATCTTTGGCGAAGCCGCCGACGCCGCCCGGAGTAGGGCAAAAGCAACCCAAGGAGCAAGGGAGGGGGAAAAAGCGCGCGGGGGCGCCATTTTGAGGGCGGGAAACGCGCCGAGAAGCCCGTCCCGGCGCCATCTCGGTTGAGGGCGCCGGTTGGTGACGTGGTGGTCGGGGGGGGCCCTGGGCCGGCTGCGCCTGCGCGGTGAGAGGGAGTGAAGGCGGGGAGGCGGCCGCCATCTTTGTTGGAGGGTTTGGTACCCAAGAAACGGGGAAGAAGGAGAGGAGGACCAAAAAAAAAAAAAAAAAGGATGGTCTCATTAAGATGCTTTAAGGATTGGTGATGATAACAAGATAAATGCGGGGGGGGGGGAGAATTTTGGGTATGGGGTAGATTTGGATAAATGGCAGAAATTATGGACTGGGAATTACAAATTAACAATGTCAGCAGCTTATAAAGAGAATTTGTATAAGATGTTTTACAGGTGGCATCAGTGAAATGTTGGAAATGTCATCAGATACCTGGATATGTGGTGGACATGCACGGAAGCTGAAAGATACTGGACATATGGCTGGGAAAAAAAATATATAAAAACAACACATGGACTTAAAACCAGAGATATTTTTATTGGGGATTTTACCTGAAAGGTTGTAGGAAAGAAATAATATATTTGATTATTAATGTTTTAACTGCAGCTAGAATTTTTTTTGTTCAAAATTGGAAAAATGACAACATTCCAACAGAGGAGGAGGAGGTGATTAATAAAATAACGGAATATGCAGAAATGAGTAGATGTGCATTAGCAATTAGAGAGCAAGAAGAAAACGAGTATTATAAGATTTGGGGTTTATTTTATCAATGGCTAGATAGAAGAGTAAGAAATTGAAGTATATTGTAATAGCAATGGTATATTACAATTGATTATTTTTCAACAAGTTATACTATGAATATAATTTAGTAAGAATTGAGTTTTGCTTTTAAAGATAGCCTGGAAATGAAACTAAAATTTAAATAATAGTATAATAACGAGATAATATGATATGAAATGTTGATTAGAATATAATATGAATGTAAAGTTAAGAGGAAAGGGTCATAGATACTGTGCACATGATATGTATACCAAACCGACGCATTGTATAACTGAACAATGGTTTCATTTGTTCTTTTGTATGTTATAAAAATAAACGTTTTTCCAAAAAAAAAAAAAAAAGGATTGGTGATGACGGAGATGCAAATTTAAAGTTAGGTTGGATGAGGACAGCTCTCCAGAACTTGGGGGGGGGGGGGGGAATGGCAGGCCAAGCCCATCAAGTATAGAATCATACAATAACAACAGTTGGGAGGGTCCTTGGAGGTAATCAAGCCCAACCCCCTGCTTGAGGCAAGAGAGTCTATTCCAAATATTGGCCTCTACCTAGGATCGAACTCACAAGCCTCTTGATTGTGAGGCAAGAGCTGGAACACAACTCCCGTTTCGCTGCCTATCCTGATGGGACTTGGAGTGCACATCTCTTTTTGGATGGGAACTAACCCTACATTCTTTCTCTTCATATGGTTTACAGCTTCCTCTAGAAATGAGACCAGAAGACGAAGTTGCGCGCCATAAAAAAATAATAAACTTACAAACAGCCCAAAGTCTTAGATACAAATTATCTACATTTATTTGATGTTTAAATCACATTCTTCCAGTATAAATTCCAGGTAAACTTGGATCATACTCTCACCCCCTCACACACATACTGTACACACTCTTCCGCAAAGAGAAACATTGCTTTTTTTTTTCTTCAGATGCATTTCATAAGCCAAACAAATGCTTAGGATTAAAAAGGCCACCTCCCCAAAATATAGTTGACATGTCATGTTAGAAACGCACACAATTTTGCATTCAAGCTCTGCAAGTCAAAATCTTAATGCAAAGAATCAGAGGCATAAATGACGGGAAATTATCAGAAGTTTAGAGGGTTGCATTAACAGAGGCGTATTTCAAGCTTCTTTTAAATGGATTATGTCTGTGGGATGTAAATTCTATTTCACGTATCCTTAAGTGTCAAACAGGCTGGGTAAATCATGCTAAAAATGATCACACTCACTTCATAAATTTAAACATTTTATTTTGGGGGGCCTGGTCTATCGTGGTACCTATGTCATTATACAGTTTCATGCCATCTCTCTACAGTTAAACTTCATGCAATTATTTTTAGCTAGGGGGTAGGGTCATTAAATTTAAGATTTTTTTTTTTAAAAAAAAGAAAAAAAAGATACATACACACAAAGCCTCTTTATGTTTGGACACAATTTTTCCCAGGTGGTCACGGAATGGAGTATTTCACGCTTTAATTCACCCATTTCCTTGAATTGTTAAAAAAATACATTTTGAACACTTTTTTGTGTAAAGACCAACACTGTGGGGACATCACCTTGGTTCAAGCCCACCAATTCATGGATTGAAGTGGCACACAGTTCTTGCTGATGTGGCTTTCGTCATAATTCACCTATCTGTTTTTACTTTGTGTACATTTCCTTGAAGATGTATCTAGTGGCCCCCTTCTGCACATATCTTCATTGCATATCCAAGTGATTCGATTTTTCACAGGCCTTTTTAAGGATCGGTGACTGTTTTTTACACTTTGGAGACATTGCCTGCTTGTGGACCATTTGATCCCATGAGAATAAACGTGTTTGTGACTTCTTGGCATGAGACTCATTCAACATTACTTGGGGTGCTCGACTTACAAGCTCGATGCACCATTACAGTATTTTCAAAAAGAGGCAAGCTTGTCAGTCTTTCAAAAGTCTTTCAGAACAGAATAGAATAGAATATGGAATGCAATGGAATAGAAATCAGAATAGAATAGAAATCAGAATAGAATAGAATAGAATAGAATAGAATAGAATAGAATAGAATAGAATAGAATAGAATAGAATAGAATAGAATTCTTTATTGGACACACAAGGAAATTGTCTTGGTGCAAATGCTCTCGGTGCACATAAAAGAAGTGTTTTGAAGAGTTTTGAACTTTGACTTTCTTGGAGCTAAATAAAACATCAGCACTGATGATGTTCCCTAGTTGGGTAATGAAACGTCTGCAAGGAAAACCACCAAGCTCAGAGAGCACCAGAGGGTTTTGCATAAAAACATCGTATCCAGCAAACACGTTCTTGTCTCAATTGCAACCGATAACAGGACCGTTGGAGGGCTTGAAGACACGATGGACACCTCTTCTTCAAAATCCTTTTAAATAACAGCAGTCAACATCCACTTTCTGGAGGAAAAAAACAACAACTGTCTCACCCTGTTTTAGCAAAACATAAAAGATTGCCGGTGCAATGTTTATCATCCAAACCCCACAAGCCAAAACTGGAAGAGTCTTCAAAAATTCTGGGAAGATCAAAAGAAGAAGGTGTGACTTAGCAAAGCCACTCAGGGACAAAAAGAAAAGTGCAGGTTTAAAAATGGAAAGCACATAGGGTAATCCAATAAAGGAGGATATTTGTAGCTCAGGGTTGAAATGAGAGGTTATGATTGGTCAAATATTGTGCGCGATGCTCTAGGCGTACCATATTTGTGGGGTCCTTGGTGCTCTCTGAGCTTGGTGGCTTTCTTGCAGGGTAACGTTTCATTACCCAACTAGATAACATCATCGGTGCTAGAAGGAAATGGGTTTGCTCTTTGTTTATATATCCACTCCCTTCTAACATTGATGACGTTACCTAGTTGGCTAATGAAACGTCTGCAAGAAAACCACCAAGCTCAGAAAGTACCCCACAAAGATGTTACACCTATGGCATCACACACAACATTTGACCAATCACAGCCCCTTTGAAAGCAAGAAAATGTTCTAAGGCATCCGGAATCAGTTTAGCAGATTCTGTAACTGCAGAACGAAAACATTTCTTAATATAAATTATCCCATTCATCCTTTTCAGAGATAATTTATCTCAGCAACTTTATGAGCCTCAAAGCGCTAAGAACATGTTTCTTGGATCTGTACTACGAAAGAAATTACTGCTCAAAAGTCTGGTTTTATCTTGATCCAAGTTTATTTTTGTTTCGTTTCTTGTTCTGTCGACTGAAATCCAATCAACTCTTGATCCAGGATATTTTTCCTGCTAATAGTCGCTTTCCAAATATCAGATTACACTCAGGCAGCCTACAGTGCAATTTCTTCTATGCCAACCCTGATAAAAGTCACTTTTTCCTTTGTCAAATAAGTGTGACACAGCATTGGGAGTAATTTCACACAATTTCCTTCTCCAAGCCCTGGAGGAAAGTGGATTCTGCATTTCCAGCACCCCCCTGAAGCCTAGCAGTTAAGTTTAATAAGATGTGTGCACGGAGCAAATAGGGTTACCCAACTCCGATGCGTGAATTCACACTCTCAGCTCCAAGAAGAAAGAAAAGCTATTTTTTTAATAAAAAAAAAACTCTCAATAAAGGAGATGAAATACTGGTGGGTGTTTCAATTGGTGTGTGTTCCTGAGATATTGTAAGTCTCTTTCGAACCTTGTAAGATTATTCACTAGCATTTGTGATGTTACATAGTTTGGATATCAAAACGTCTGTAAGAAAACAACCAAGCTCAGAGAGCACCAAGGACCCCACAGTCATTCTCCTCCTCCTCTTCCTCCTCCTCCTCCTCCTCCTTTCTACAAACCCTACTCTCTTCTAGCACTGATGATGTCACCTACTTTGGGTCATGAAACATCTGCAATAAGACCACCAAACTCAGAGAGCACCAAGGACCCTACAGTCCTCCTTCTCCTCCTCTTCCTCTTCCTCCTCCTCCCCACACCCCTTCTAGCACTGACGATGTTCCTGAGCTGGGTCATGAAACATCTGCAAGAAAACCACCAAGCGCAGAGAGCACCAAGGACCCTTCAGATCATTGACTTGCAGACTGCTGCTCAAGATAATGTTATTTGAAAGTTATTTAGAGAGAGGAACCAACTTCTTAGAGAAGTTGCCCATTGAAATACTGAGAGAAACCAGTCCTCTCTGGCGAGACCCACAGTCTTGCGAACAAAGACTGTGCAGCAAGAAGGCCCTAACACCCTCCCTCCCCATTCTCATGGCAACCTCTGTTCCTACATCGTTCGTCTAGATCATGTTCTACAGATGTTCTCGTGATAATCCTAAGGACATCTCGGTCTAGAATTTCAGGCCAGGAAAATGTAATGCAGATTGTAATCCTACCTGTAGCAGAATAAGGAACTCTTGAAGGAAGAGAGAGAGAGAAAGAGTGAAATAGAGGCAGAGAAAGAGATGAGAAAGAGAGAAAGGGAGAGACAGAGAGAAAGAGAGAAAGATGAGACAGAGAGAAAGAGAGAGGGAGAAAGAGACAGAGAGAGATGAGAGAGAGAGAAAGAGAGATGAGAGAGAAAAAGAGAGATGAGAGAGAGAAAGAGAGATGAGAGAGAAAAAGAGAGAAAGACAGAGAGAAAAAGAGAGATGAGAGAGAAAAAGAGGGAGAAAGAGAGGCAGAAAGAAAGAGAGAGATGAGAGAGAGAGAAAGAGAGAGGGGGAAAGAGAGATTAGAGGGAGAGAGGGGGCAGAGAAAGAGAGAGAGAGAGAGAACGTAGCAGATAACAATTTCGGTATGAGTTTCTGAACTTAATTGGAAAAGCCAGATACTTCACCCTTATAATAATTCGTATTATTCCCACATTAAGATGTCTGTTTTGATTCGTGAGTTTTCATGCAACGAAGACCTCCCTCCTCCCAAATAAGACAGAGAGCTGGCACAAGGGTGGAATTCCAAACTCAATCCAGATGCTGAAATAGGCGCCGTAGAAATCTGAATTCTCCTTCCATATCCTAGACCGACTTTGCATTCAGGGGAACAATTCTATTACTCCACTCTACCTCGCTATCCTAAATCACAAAAGTCTTGTGAGATTAAACATCCTTGAAATAACAAGCAGGGGAAACGGAAACTTGAAGATGCAAACAACTTTGTATTATTCAAAGAGGAGAGATTCGCAAGAAAGCTGCTTCTTCCGGAGTCCCAGCTCCAGATATTCACCCTCTAAATTTACAGCACTTTAATACAATACTTACTTTCTCCCACCCCCAAATCTTAGCTTAGGTCTGGTTTCATTTGGCCTTGTTTTTTTTTTTTAAACAAGGCCATGAACCCCCTGTACAGATTTTTTTTAAAAAAATCTTAAAACAGTTAAAATCCAACACCTGATCTTTTGTCTCTCTTTTTTTTTTTGTACAAATAGTTACAAACGCAGCGGAAGGAAATCTCTGTTCACCTTCTGTTATCCACACCGTTTCTGCTCCGAATAGTTCAGGAATAAAATATTTGAGCTCAGCTTTCATGCTTCCTATCTGGGAAAAGGAATCCTGGTCGAAGCAAGGTAGGGAAAACAAAGAGGCCACGTTTACCTTTTAAATAACGTTACTAGCTTGGGAGCGCCTATTCACAAAAGGATGGAAAGAGGACGCCTAAGGTCCCTTTCTCACAAATAAAGAGAGGAGAACGAAGGAGTTCCGCAAAACTTTGGTCACTGTTATTCTGTCTGGATCCATCAATCGTTTTTGTTTGTTTTCGTTTTTAAATAGCAAAACTCGGACCCAGAAACATTTCGGATTCTTCTTTTCCAAAACCGCTTGTCCTCCTTTTCCAACAAGCGCTTAAAAACTCCGTTTCCAGGGTCCGCCTGGGTTTTCCGTGACTGGCTGTGAGATGATTTCTGAGTTGACTTCTCCCAGGATCCCATATACAAAAATATATATATATATATATTTTTTTTTTTTCAAGCTGCTGCTTCTTTAAAAAAAATACAGGCAAATACCCTCTTGTGGCATTGGAAAGGCCGAGCTGAATCCAATCCCGTAATTTTCATTTCACTCGTCTCGGTCATTGTCCGACGCTCGTCTTGGTTTGGACAAGTGACAACTGAAGCTTGGGCCAATCCAGGAAAAGGAAAAGCTGGTTCCTTCTGGATGAAACACAGGGACCATCCAAAGCGTCCTGGCACGGATTCATTCCAAGTTTTTAAAAAGGCGGAAAAAAAAAAGAGTTTGACATCCGTCCTTGCCTGGACTCGTCATGCTTTGTAGTTATGCATCGGCGTCGCCAGGGTCAACTGTCCGTTGGGCGCCACTTCGTTGGCGTCATCTTCTAACAAGCCGGAGATGTCCGCGTTGGGGATGCTGTCGTGGTAGCTGCTGAAGCTGATGTTGTCCTCTTTCAGTTCAATGGTCCAGAAAGGAGCGTTCAGCTTCCGGTTCTGGTACTCGCGGTACGTGTAGACGGCTCCCACAAAGCCCATCAGCAGAACGACCAGAATGATGATGACGGTGAGGATGATGATGTTGAATTGGGCCCAGGAGACGTCGGCCAACGTCGACGTGCTGTTCTCGGAAGACGGGCTTGGGAAGGCCGTCTGTACCGTCGGCTGGCCCGATGTGGCGTTGAAGGCCAAGGTAAGCGAGACAGTGGACGCATTGAAGTTTGGAGTTGTGGGGATGAGCCTTGGGGACGGAGTATATTCTACATTTAAAAAGAAAAAGAATAGAATAGAATTCTTTATTGGCCAAGTGTGATTAGATACACATGGAATTTGTCTTTGGTGCAAATGCTCTCAGTGTACATAAAAGAAAAGATACATTCGTCCAGAGTCAAGAATCATAAGGTACAACACTTAATGATAGTCATAGGGCTCAATCATACTAGGAAACAGTCAATAAAAATCATAAGGATATAAGTGACATTCATACAGTCACAAGTGGGAGGGGATGGGTGAAAAGAAGGATGGGAGGATTAATAGTAATAGTAGTGCTGACTTTGTAGTAGTTGAACAGTTTTGAAGGAATTATTTGTTGCTGTCCTTAGAAAAGGGCAAAGTGAAAGTTATTAGGTTAGGTGTCAGGATTCCAGCAATCATGATTCTCCAGCCAAACTTCAAAAAACTTCAAAGGATTCATTAGAGGCGGCATACTGGCACTGTCCTGTATGAAGCCAACTCTGGCATAGGTAATTTATGGTCCCCTGTGACCCTGTTTTCCCCCACCCCCACTGGGTGTCTCATAAACTAGATTCTCCAGTTGAGTACGTTCACAGGCTGGGTGTCATCATTCACGTTCTCCAATTCAATATATTCGTGAGCAAAAACTTTGGTATTTGAGACTCTAGAAAAAGTACAGAGAAGAGCAACCAGGATGATTAGGGGACTGGAGGCTAAAACATACGAAGAACGGTTGCAGGAACTGGACTTGGCTAGTCTAGTAAAGAGAAGGACCAGGGGAGACAGGATAGCGGTCTTCCAATATTTGAAGGGCTGCCACAGAGAGGAAGGGGTCAAGCTATTTTCCAGTGCACCCGAAGGCCAGACAAGGAATAATGGATGGAAACTGACCAAGGAGAGATTCAACCTGGAAATAAGGAGAAATGTTCTGACAGTGAGAACAATCAACCAATGGAACAGAAGTGGCCCTCGGAAGTTGTGGGAGCGCCATCACTTGAGACTTTCAAGAAGAGATTATCAGAAATGGTGTAGGGTCTCCTGCTTGGGCAGTGGGTTGGACTAGATGACCTACAAGGTCCCTTCCAACTCTGATTATCTGTTATTTTAGTTACAATATTTTAAAGATAAACATTGGAATGTGCTTTCACTCCCCCCCCCCTTCTTTATGGCAACTACTAAACAGGCATAGAAACGTTTTATGAGTTGACATTAGGCAAGTCACCAGGCCTTCGGGTCCGCCGTTAAATGGAGAAGATTAGCAGTTGCACATTCAGGGATTGGGTTCACAAATCACGTTACAGTAAAACACAGGTAGCCCTTGCCTTACGCAATTGAGCCTGATGTTTCGGTCAAAAAGCGAGACATTGGGCCGGTGAGTTATGCCCCGTTTTACGAACTTTCTCGACGTGATAGTTAAGTGAATCCCTGCAGCTGGTAAGTGAGCTACCTAGTTGATGGAGCCGGCATAGATGGCTAAATTGACCATTTCAGTCAAAAGACAAAGAACGTCAGTGCTTTTCTTGCTACATGGAGTCTGCTTCTGGACTTTGTACATGAGGTGGTCACAACTTTGAACGCTTAGTTGTAAGTCGAGGGCTACCCGTAGTAATTGACGCACGCTGCTGGAAGGCGCTAAATCAATGGGAAAACATTCTTACCTTCCTTAGTGCAGTTTCCTCCTTCCAAATGTTTGGCGTAGCCTTCTTGGCACGCCTCACAATGGACCCCGGCTGTGTGGTAGAGGCAACCGATGCATTCGCCCGTATCCGCCTTGCAGACTCTCGGCGAAAGGGCTGGGTCAACGTTCCCATTGCATTGGCATTTCAGGCAGATGCTGTCCGAGCTGTAGTAGCCCTTGTCGCATTCATTGCAGAGGGGGCCGATGTAGCCAGGACGACACTCGACACAGGTTGGAGTTTGTTGACCAGGCTCTGATTGGGGGAGAAGGATTGTTAGTTAGCTCCACAGCTCCTCTTTCCTACAGGAGTGCTTTCCTCATTGCCACCAGTCATCCAAGAGGGATACATGCATTCTAGTAGTACAGGTTGTGAAGATGCAGTGAGGAAGAGCAGGAGGAATGGAGGAAGAATGGAAGAAGAAAGAAAGAAAGAAAGAAAGAAAGAAAGAAAGAAAGAAAGAAAG